TTCAACATGGCTGCTAATTTAAAAATCACTTTGGGGGGAAAAAAACCATTTCGGGGACTTCCCTGGTGGTCCAGGGGGTAAGACACCACGCTCCCAATGCAGGGGACCTGGGTTTGATCCCTGATCATGGAACTAGATTCCATATGCCCCAGCAAGGACCTGACAGAGCCAAATAAATAAATAAAAATATTTTTTAAAAAAAATCACTTCAGTCTAGTTTTTTGTGCTCATGTGGGACATGGTGTTTGATCCATCAGGAAGTTAACAATACTGTAAACAGTGATTACCAGTGTTCCTCAGAAAGAAACCACCCTCCACTTCTATATCCTAACACCTGCTACTAACCATACCCTCTGTCCTAACCCTGACCTATGTAAAGCCAAAGCAGCACCAGGGAGAATATAAGGGGCTAGGGGCACGCGGGGGTGCATAGGGCTGGGAGGAGGTGCGTGTGGAGAGCACCAGAGCTCCGTGGAACAGAGCAAGGACATGAACAGACGTAGTGCTCTTACGAAGAGTCATGCAGCCAAAGCACGTGATCAGGCATAACGCTGCAGTGCCGCATAAGATACCCCGGTCAATGTGTTACATCTAAGGCCTAAATAACATTTCTAGAACCGGGAGCTGTCTGCTGCATCTCTGAAAGCCCCTTCCCAGGCTGTGTCGAGAAACGCCAGGTTTCCTTATGCTCCTCTGCCCAATGTTTCCCAGGGACCTGCAGGGTGGAGATGGGCAAGTCTCCATAGCAACCCGGGGGGTAATCTCAATCATCTAGAAGCTTTAAGAGGTGGAATATTCTAGTTCACTGAACGTTCTTAGAAATTTAGTACGAATCAAAAATCTCTTTTTGTTGGGACTTTAAAACTGGAAATGCTTCTGAAATGTTGAGTTTCTTATCTCAGCAAGAACAGTGGAATGATGGAGCTGGTACCCTGTTTTGGTGATCTGGGACTCTGCAGGGCCTGAGGCTTGGTTCTCTACATTGACGATCATTATTTACACTGCCTCTGTTAAAGGCAATACCAATAATGCCCTTGAAGGTAATTAATCTATTTGTACTGTAATTTAAAGTTGATTAAGTACATGACCTTATGAATTTGACCTGAATAATCAGGGCTCCTCTAAGAGAAAGAGAACAAGGACTCGATGATGGTTGGCTGGAGGATGGCAAGTCCCCAGGAAACTCCAAAGGCTTGAAATTAGTGCTTGAAGGACTATTGGGTCTGCCTATGGTTGGATACCAGGATGGGAAGGCAGTTAAGCTCAACAAGGAAATAAAGGTGTCTGCTCATCTCACAATATCATGTTCTCAGACAGGATCAATATCAGAGAGACCTTGTCTTTTCAGCACTAAGAGCAATGCCTGGCCCACCTGGTAGGTGCTTGATACTAATTTGACAGATGAAGGGAGGCCTCCATTCAATCCATTCTGTGCAAATGTCCTCTGGTTACCATTCTCTGACCACCACCCATCCGCTGTCTATTCCTCTCTCCATCTAGTGTTTATGTGGTTATTATATAAGAGGTGCTAAACCACGGGCGGACTCAATGGTAAGTATGATACAGCCCCTTATGAAGAGTCAATCACCCCTCTGTTTCAGTGGACTTTTTAAAGGAAGGGGGGTGCTAAGTGGTGGGCTTTGCAGAGTGGCCTGAGCACAAAGGGCAGTCTCATGTGCCTTCACTACTCTACAGACTGTGCCTTTGGAAAATCCTAATTACTGCTCCCACTAAAGACTCACAGTCTGTGTGCTTCTGAAAGGAAACTTCCGTCTTCCTGTCCAGATGTGGTGTAGGCACTGGTCATTGCTTGAGCAGGACAATGGGCTAGCTCCACTGATGATTCCACCTGAAATGGTTTTGCCCTGTTTGTTTCCTGGGTAACGAACCAAACTAAAGTTTCTTCCAACCCTTCCCATTCTTCCTCATCCCATTTCATGCTCTTTCTGCTCTGAGAAAGGGGATATTCCAAGAGGGCAAGTGGGAAGGTCTGGGGTCATGTCAAGTCTGTATTTTCCTGGATGGTAGGAACTTGCAGCATGGAAGACAAATTCGGGGCAGTTGTTGAGAATATTCACATCAGGAGAAGTAACACTTTCTCTGTCCATCATCCCCACCATGCCCCACTCCTCCAATTTTCTCTTGCTGCATTTCAGAGTAAGAAACACTACTCCTCCCTACCATCAATTCAAAGAAAAGACTATAAATAAAGGGCACACACACACACACACACACAAAAGGATCCTGGAAATTGTTCTTCCTCAAAGAGTAACATGACTACTTAGCCTAGAATACACAGAAGCCCCCTACTCTAGAGGGTGATCAGGAGGTTGGAAACTTGGAAGAACCATTCTTTACTACTACTAGGTTTAGCCTCTGTTTTTGCTTGAATTATATATATGTATTTAAAGAATACCAAAGTCTTGTTTCCTTTACACTGTGCTTTTCTCTAAGCGCAAATCTCTAATTTGGTGACATTCAGACCCAGACCTTCACATCATATGTGGCATTATAATCCGCAATGCGCTTTTCGAGAACATTTCTTTCTGCACCAGGTCACAATGGCCACATTACACTCTAGGCATAGTGCAGTCACATAATCCTTGGTTGTAGTGACTGTACCTGCCGTTTCCAAAGTCCTAGAACTGACAGCACCACCTTGATTCTGATTCATCCCCACAGTGTTTATGTGAGGAGGGCAGAAGTCATGATCCCCACTTTATAGGTGGGGAAACCAAGGCACACAGAGGTGATCTACCCAAAGTCACTCAGGAAGTCAGAAAACAAACTGACTACAGAGCCAAGTAAGATCACCTTTCAGCGCCTTGTCAAAAAAAAAAAAAAAAAAAATCCAAACAGATTGTATCCTTCTCAAACGAATGTGTATACCTTGGAAGGAAGTGGTTTTAGGTGGAACTTCCTAGTAAAGTCTCAGAGTCTCCTCTGTCAAATCAGGAACCACCAGTTAAGAACCAGTATCACATTAACATTTTAGTTAAATACCCTTGACTCACCGACAATGCTGATTATTATAGCTCACTGACAACCTGGTTACCGACATGAAAATTCGAGGAAAACTTCATCCATTCAAGAAATAAGCCTTGGCACAGCTCCTTTCCTGGTTTCACAGCATCTGATGTGTAACAGCCAAGCACTGCTTCCTTCTACACAATACTCCTGTACCTGTTGGCATTTCACTGGGGTTGGGGGTGGGGGTGGGGAGTCGCTAACAGAATGTGTGCATGTGTGTGCATGTGAGTATGACACCAGACACTTTAGGGACAATTCTGCCCAACAGAATATACATGAACTATGTCTAATACAATACTTCTCTACCCTGATTCTTCTTTTTTGGTAACTTTTATTTCTTGATCCTGTTCATGTAGAAAGTAATGTTTTACTCCCCACCTTCCTTGATGAAGGTAGAGTCCTTGGGAGGACATGCCTGGGGGCTGATTTCAGCTTCGTGGAAGGAAGCACTTGAAGGGTGAAAGTTGCCGGAAGACAACTGAACGGGACTTTTTGGACCAGAAAGTGTCTTGCACGTATTTTCCCCCAGAGGATAAATGACCACCTGTCCCTGACACATGGCCAGGAATCCATACTCCTGGAAACAAACTAGGCCAGCAGCAGTCCTCCTGCCTCCCAACTCCAGGTCAAGAAAGGCACAAAGAAGACCAACAAATAATACCGAGGCGGTGCTTTGGATCTGGGAGGCCTTGAGGTACCAGGAGAAAGAAGAGTACTGATGGCCCCATCTGGACGATGGGGAGGTGAGGCACGGAGAGACTGACTTTATACTTTCAGTCCTAGGGGAGAGGGAACCAGGAATGTCGGGTAGGGGTGAATCCTCTTTTTCCTCATTTGGGGAAGGAGAGGAGAGGAAGATACACTGTCAAACCATAGTGAGCATGACCCTCACGGCAAAGAGGCAAATTCCAGCTCTTCTGCCCACACAGTAAAGTAAATGCCCTCAGATGATCCCTTCACATAGGGAACGCGACACCCCAAACTCTCTGGGGCCCACTCTTGGGACTGCATCCAGGGCTGGAGATTGAGGCAGAATCGGCCTGGGCAGGCACATAGGTAGCTCTGCTTCTTAAGGCATGGATGCTGTCTGCCAGGAGTGGGCCCCACACTGGGAGGTGGCCATCAGACACTACCTCCCCTGAAAATACCCTGCAAGAAAGCTCAGTGGGGTGGAACACTGCTGCCTAAGGAATCCACATCCCCGGGCTGGGGGCTTCCACTAAAGCTAAACAGCATCACCAAACCTGTGTCAACTAGGAACATAAGGAAGACGAAAAATCCAAACTGATCATTACTGGCAGATGATTGTCTAACTAGAGAATCTAGGGGAAACAACAGAAAACCTAGCAGAACTAAGACCACAGTTTGCACAAGTGGCAGATTAAAAGTCTAGTATACAAAAGTCAATAGCTTTTCGGTCACTTGAGGGTGGTGTAATACCTTGGAAGAGCTGTGCTTTTCTGCGAGGCCTCCAAGCGTTGTGCAACTTGCCACGTTTTAAAAGATGGAGGGGAGCCAAGGAGATGCCTCCTCTGCTGCAATCTGTGCAGACACCTCAGATACCAAGTTTGTGAAGATGCCTGGGGTGACTGCTGCAGGAGGGGGCAGTCACTTCTGCACTGTCTCCTTGCCCCCCCCCCCCACTCTCGACCCAGCCCCTTTCTCCCAGATCTTTTCCTTTCCAACTCAACAGACACATTGGGAACCTTGGCAAGGGCCAGGGTGGGAGCCAAGAAGGTGGGATGTGGTGGAAGATTGTGCTATGTCATTTCCAAACAAAGCCGATTTTTAAAAACAAAGGCGGCAGACTGACGGGTCTCATACATCAGTCCTCTCATCGCCTCACTGGTTAGAAGCCTGGCGACGCCACGGTGCTGTGCCCCGACTGGCGATTCCCACGGTCCGCACAAAATGGCCAAAAGGGGCGCCATGGGGCTGAGCGTGGCAGTCTAGCCTGCGCACTGCGGCGGTCATTTACGGTCCAGGTTGGCGTGCAGCTGGGCCTCGCGCACCATGCGATCGAAGGAGCGCGTGTTGGTCTCCTGGCGCACCTTCTCGCGCACGTGGAAGGAGGCGCGGGCTGTGGAGCGAGCGCTCTCCAGCGCGCTGCGCCGCTCCCGAGACAGCTGCTCGCTGCGCTCCAGCTTGCGACCGATGGCTTGGAGCAGCTCCCGCCGGCGGCAGTCTTCGTCCCTCTCCACCTTCTCCTTGTTGGCGCGCTGGGCCCGCTCCTTCTCCATCCGGCTCTGGCCCACGCGCCGCGCCTTCTGCTGCACCGCCTCCTCGGCCGCCTGCGCCGCGTGCTGCAGCCGCCGCTCGCCTGCCCGGGCCAGCGCCTCCAGGTGCGCCTGATGCTCCCGCTCCTTGCGCTCAGCAGCCTCCTTGGCCCTCCGGCCCTGCAGCTCCTCCCGCCGGGCCCTTTCGCGCAGCTCCCGGGTGCGCTGCTCCACCAACTGCTCATAGTTCTCCTGCGCGCGTCCCAAGCTGGCCTCCAGGGAGCTCCGCAGGCCCTCGCGCTCCTGGCGTTCCTGCCGGGCCCGACCTTTCAGCAACGCCTCGTGGCGCGCCCGCTCCGCCCTGCTGAGCTCCCGCTTCTCCCGCTGCAACTGGCCCTCCTGCTGCTGCTTGACCTGGGCCGCGCGCTTAGCGCGCTCCCTGCGGACCTGCTCGGCCCGCTCGCGCACCTCCTGCAGGCCCTCCTCCCGCTGCTTCAGGTTCTGTTCCTGCTGCAGCTTGCGCTGCCGGTCCTCCCGGGCCGCGCGCTCCGCTCGCTCTCGCCGCAGCAGTCCCTGGCGCTCGGCCAGCTCCCGCCGCCGCTCCTCGCTGCGCTCGCACTGCCGCTGCCGGCGCCGCGCCTCCTCGCGTTCCTCGCGACCTCGGCGGCCGCGCCGCTCCTCCACCTGCGCCGCCCAGGCCCGGCGGCCCTGCTCCAGGGCGCGCTGCTTCTCGCGCTCCTCGCGCTCCCGCCGCTGCTCGGCGCGGACGCGCTGCTGCTCCCACTGGCCGTGGGCCGCGGCGCGCTGCTCCAGCAGCAGGCGCTCCTCCTGGTGCCTCGCCAACATCAGCGCCGCGATCTTCCGGTCGCGCTCCGGCACCCCGCGCAGACCCCGCTCGGCGCGCACTTGGCGCACGATGCGCTCCACGTGCTGAGCTGTCTGGGGCGAGTGGCTCAGGTCGCCGAGGCTGAAGCTGCGGCCGGTGAGCGGAACCAGGGCCAGGGCGGATGGGCGGCCCAGGGGGTTAGGAGCCGAGGCCGCCGACCCCGCCGCGCAGCTGTTCCTGGCCGAGGCCCGCGGCGGCCAGTGCAGTTCCCGCAGGCTCTCTCCGCTGTAGGACGACGACGACGCGCCGGACTCGGAGCTGAGGGCGCCCTCCCGCCGGCGGGACAGCGAGTCCAGTGAGTGGCTCTTCCTACCTGCCCGCGACCCCGCCGGAGGGGGTTGGGGCCGGGCCGGGGACGGGCTGGAGGAGGCCTTTCGAGGGGCGCGCGGGGCGGGCGAGGCCGGGAGGCTCGCGCTGCTGCAGCTGCTGCTGCTGCCCGCGCTGGGGGCCGAGGCCGCGGCGGCCGCGGGGCCCAACGGCGTGAAGAGGCGCCGCTTCTCCTCGCGCACGATGCGCTCGCGCTCCGCCCGGCACTGCTGCAGCTTGGCGCGCCGCTCCGCCTCGTACGCCTCGTACAGGCCAGTGGCCACTCGCATCGAGCGGCCGGGGGCCTCGCGCACCAGGTCCGCCAGGGCCCGGGGCAGCAGCTCCACAGGCTTAACGGCGCAGCGGGCGCAGGCCTCGAGCGAGCGGGGGCTGGTCAGCACGTACCGGCTGCCCTCGGCCTCCGGACAGTCGAAGTTGAAGAGGTCGAGGTGCAACAGCGGGGACTGCTCCCGCTGCCCGCCTTCGGCCGCGGACGGGACTTCAGCCTTACGGGGCGCCACGGCGGAGGCCGAGGCCGAAGACGCCGTGGGCTGCTGGGCGCCGTGGGAGTCAGGGGGCACGGACGCGGCGGCTTCGTCCCCTTCTGAGCCTCCGGGCTCGGCTCCCAGCGTCTCCTCTTCAGGCACGGGATCCACCATGGCTGAGCCTGTGCCTTTGTGGAGTCACTGAGGATAACAAGGGAGGGACATCGAGGAATACATTTAAAAGCAGTCCGCCCCCCCCCAACCCCCCACTCCTGTTCATCCCCTCACCCAACTTAATCCGCTCTGGGATTAGGCTCAGAGGCCCGGTGGAATGTAAATCATAATACCGATGCCCTGAAAACCCAAGCGGGAGGGAGGGTGCACAGAGCCTCTGTCTCCCTCAGCGCCGGAGTGCGGGGCGGAGGCCCGTGGCCAAGCTCTCCCCCGGGCGTCTTGCCGGCTAGACGCATCTCTTCCCTGTTGCAGGTTAAAATGCAAAGATTGAGGTGCGGGCGGCAGCCGACCCGAGAGGTTCTGGAGGATTCCCGAGAGGATTAGCGTATTCATTTGTCGCTTAGGCGGGCGACCAGGGAGGCAGCTTTGCAGGAACAAAAAAGGAGGTCTGTGCATCCTCACAGTGCACTGCTGTGAAGACCCCATTTGCCCAGGGAAGAAGTTTATAGTTGATTTCCCCTTTGCCAAAGAAGACCCAGGCGTAGGGCTCAGAGGTGACGGTAGAGAGGAGAGAAGTGACTCTGCCAGAAAAAGACCTCCCCGGGAGGGCTGATCGATCCTTGCTCCTGCCTCTTGGGCAGGGCTTGCAAGGAGCTGTGCCCTCCTTCCCCGCGTCCCCACCACCGGGTGTTCGCCGGGGGTGGTGAAGGAGCCTGGGTCTTCCCAGATGCACCCGATTCTCTCTTAAAGCCGTGCTAAAAGCGCCATCCACCCCAGTCTAGGCTCGGACACCTGTCCCCAGACGTCCTCCGAGTGCCCCCACCGTATCCCAGCGAGGTTGGGCTCCTGGAGCTCAGCGAGCCCGTCCGCTTCCCTGGTGCCCGGGCCGGCTCGCTTACCCCACGTCCCGGGCTCGGCCCCGCGCCGAGGCTTTTGTTCGCAGCTCGCTGCTTTCCTTGTGCCTCTTCAGTCCTTTCGCCGGCGGGGTCGGATTACTGCCGGCCGCAGCCGCGATAGGAGCCCCAGCTGCCGCCGCCGCCACCACCGCCAGCGTCTCTCCATGGGGCCGCGCACACCCCAGACGCTCCCTACCCGCAGGAGGGGGAGTGCGACAAGGTCTCCCTAAAATAACGCAGCTCTGCTCCCTTCCCTCACGCTGATTCTTAAAAAAGGAAGCAAGCCGGGTTCCATCGCTGCTGCATCCACTGCCGCCTCTCCGATCGTAAAGGGACCGCAGGTCTTTCGACGTCCCCCGGCGCCTCCTGGTGGACGCTCAAGGGTGTTGATTTGCTTGCTTAGAGAGCAAAGAGTTGGGGGGGGGGCGGGATGTATTTAAATGATACATTATACATACATATATTATATATATATATATAATATTTTTATCAAGAAACCCTATTCTATCAGCAACTTAGCTATGCAGAATGAAGGACTTGCTCAGATTTTTTCTCAGCCTGAGAAGCAATCTTTTTTTTTTTTTCATTTATTTTTATTAGTTGGAGGCTAATTACTTTACATCATTGTAGTGGTTTTTGTCATACATTGAAATGAATTAGCCATGGATTTACATGTATTCCCCATCCCGGTTCCCCCTCCCACCTCCCTCTCCACCCAATCCCTCTGGGTCTTCCCAGTGCACCAGGCCCGAGCACTTGTCTCATGCACCCAACCTGGGCTGGTGATCTGTTTCACCCTAGATAATATACGTGTTTCGATGCTGTTCTCTTGAAACATCCCACCCTTGCCTTCTCCCAGAGTCCACAAGTCTGTTCTATACATAGGAGTCTCTTTTTCTGTTTTGCACATAGGGTTATCGTTACCATCTTTCTAAATTCCATATATATATGTGTTAGTATACTGTAATGGTCTTTATCTTTCTGGCTTACTTCGCTCTGTATAATGGGCTCCAGTTTCATCCATCTCATTAGAACTGATTCAAATGAATTCTTTTTAATGGCTGAGTAATATTCCATGGTGTATATGTACCACAGCTTCCTCATCCATTCGTCTGCTGATGGGCATCTAGGTTGAAGCAAACAATCTTGATGGCAAATAATTTGATAGAACTACGGCTCCTGATCTGAACCATGACAATTTTTTTAAAGAAAAATCAAGGACATTCAAATAGGTTTGAGGCAGGCGGAAGATGTGTCTAGGGTTTAGTGCAACATTTTAGCACTTCCTGGTTCCAGACAATACAGATTAAAACCAGTCAGTGCCAGTAAGTGAGTGCTATTTAGAGACACCTCTTCACCACCTCTTATCCAGTTTGTGCGGCAGTGGCCGCAGCAGACAGGTGGAAGGTGTACCTAAGGGAAAGGGTTGGAGGGTGGGGGGGACATAACATTTAGGGAGCACAGTGAACTCTGTCGTTAATAACCTTGACGTTTCGGACAGGCAGTGAGGAGCAAGTGAAAGGCTTAGAGCAGGGAAATGACATGGTTTGGGTTATATTAGTACTTTAGGAACATAGCTCTGGCAAGGATGGAGTGAAGGCTTTGGGGGGCAAAAGGGAGGCAGGAAGCCAAGTTACCTGGACACTACAGTCACCCAAGGCAGGAAGGACTGGACCTGAGGAGAAACAACAGTAGGAGGCCTGGGCGCAGTGGGAGGTAGGGGTGTCCAGATTCCTGAAATAGAGAGTAAGAGAAGCAGTACTCAAAGGGAACTTGGCTTTGGGGTGTGAGGAGCAGCGGAGGGGCAGGGATGACTTCCTGGAGCGACAAGCTGTCTGGGTGTACCACAAACCTAGAGCGTGGGTCCTAGAGGGAGGATTAGGCGGTGTGAAGGGCCAAGGAAGTGTGGGTCCCTTTTAGGACCACCTGAGTTTGAGGTGGAGCCATTCATCTGGGAAGGTGAGTGGTAAGGTGGCTAGTAAGTTGTGTCACAGGTCTGGACTGAAGCTAGAGTTTATCACAGTTTTTCCAGTAGTTGTGTATGGATGCAAGAGTTGGACCATAAAGAAAGCTGAGCACTGAAAAATTGATGCTTTTGAACTGTGGTGTTGGAGAAGACTCTTGAGAGTCCCATGGATTGCAAGGAGATCCAATCAGTCAATCCTAAAGGAAATCGGTCTTGAATATTCTTTGGAAGAACTGATGCTCAAGGTGAAGCTCCAGTACTTTGGCCACCTGATTCAAAGAACTGATTCACTGGAAAAGACCCTGATGCTGGGAAAGATTGCAGGAAGGAGGAGAAGGGGACAACAGAGGATGAGATGGTTGGATGGCATCACCGGCCTGATGAATGTGAGTTTGAGCAAGCTCCAAGAGGTGGTGATGGGCAGGAAAGCCTGGCATGCTGCAGTCCGTGGGTTCGTAAAGAGTCGGACATGACTGAGTGACTGAACTGGACTGAATTGAAACATATTTGAGGTTCTCAAACAGTGTGAGTGAGATCATCCAGGTAAGGCAGGTGAAGCAATCTGGAGGTGGGCAGGGATGGGGCTGCTAAGGGAGGAGGAGTCCATGAAAGGGACCAATAAGGACAGGCAGAAAAGTGCAGTCTTATGGAATCTAATGGTAGTGCACTTCAGAAGGGGGGTGTGCCCCTTGTGTTAAGGCTTTAAATGTTCAGAAAGGTTTTGTTTGAATCAGATACCCACTGAAGCTGGCAGTAAGACAGTCTTTGGTGACATCAGCAGAAATAGCTTCAGTAGTGTCCTGGGAGCTGATGTCAAACCACAGGAGGTTGAGGTGTAGTGGGAAGTGAGAAATTGAAAGTTATTGACTTTTTTTGACATTTGGGTGAAAGTGTTAAAAAGACTGTGAAGGGCATGAGATTTTATCCTACTTTCTTGCTAATAAGTTAGCCTGCCACTATTCATAGATGTTCACAGAAGACATGAAACTCTGGGTCAGAAACAAAGGACTTTGTTATTCACGGTACAGCAGATGACATGAAGTTTGTGTTTTTGTTAATCCCTCTTGCTCCGCAAGTCTCATGGGGCAATGGAAATGTGGGTTCAGATAGGTATTGTACATGGGTTTGTGTCACAGCTGAGAGAGACCCTAAGCTTAGTAGTGGGTATGCCTGCTAAGTCGCTTTAGTCGTGTCCTACTCTTTGCAACCCTAGGTGGGTGCTGGTGGTAAAGAACCTGCTTGGCAGGTAAGGAGATGTAAGAGAGGCAGGTTTGATCCCTGGGTCAGGAAGATCCCCTGGATGAGGGCATGGCAACCCACTCCAGTATTCTTGCCTGAAGAATCCCATGGACAGAGGAGTCTGGAGGGCTACAGTCCATAGGGTCACAAAGAGTCAGACGTTACTGAAGCGACTTAGCACACACGCTGCAAATTTAGGGTCACTCGGCCATGTAGACCATACCCTTTTAAAGGGGGCTGCTGGCAAACCTGTTTAAATTTTGCCCCCGAGGGAGGCATTATGTTTGTTATCCTGGGAGTAAACAAATCTTCCCTCTCACGTTGAGGGAAACACTATCTCTGTCTTCCAAGGAGGTTTGTTGTACAAACATCCTCGAAAAGTAGTCTAGAATAAAAGCCTTTACAAGACATACGGAAATGCCATGAACTGCCTTCAGTAGAGACAAGGAGTGATTGGTCAGATGGCTAGTAAGAGATAAGGCTGGGCTTTAGACCTGGCTCAGTCTCATCCTGAGTGGGTCCTGTGCATTGTATTTCCACTCCAAATTAAACCTCTGGAGAGACGTGGATTCAGATGGAGATAAATGGGGTGGTCAGGTCAACCTGCTCAAACCTGTTTACTTCAATTTTCCCCTCCTTACATAAGATGCTACTAAATTGCTTATCTCAAGGATTAATAATGTCTGCTATGTAAATGTCATCTTTGTTCTTAAATAAGACCATAATAGCCACCTTTCAGGGTTGTTGTCAGAACTGGAAATTAGGCAAAGTACCTAGACCGACACTTTTCAATGAACAGTGATAAAATCATTGATATATTTTTATGAAAAAAATGTTAAAATTTATTTTTGGTTGCTCTGGGTCTTTGTTGCTGCATGCAGGCTTTCTATAATTGTGGT